TGTGAATAGAGCCGGAGCTAAACCGAAGAACCGGTTATGAACCTGAAAAGCTCTAGCACGGAGCTTGAACCGGAGTTGCGTTGGTGTGAATGAGGCACTAGAGACTTCATCCAATAGACTCCAAATTCGTCGGGTAGCGTGTCGAGACATGGGCGAAAAAACGACATCACAAAACTTTTTTTCCCGTGATTTGGCGCCAGAGTTCGCGTTCGCTCGATGCTAGGCGATCCCTCGCCATGGAACACGATGATGTCATATCTCCAACTGACATGCTAAGAACGCCACCAAACTTTACATGATGGTTAACACTGCGGCTCTGAACAGCTCTACTTAAAATTTGATCTTCACTTGTATGTCACCGGTCCATGCCTCAACAGCTCTACGTGAAATCTCACCATATGCCGTTGCCACGGCGACAGATCCCTCGCCATAAAACACGATGTCGTCATAACTCAATGGAAAATCGTCAGAACAGCACCAGACTTCAGATAATGGGTAATTGTCCGGCCCTCAACAGCTCTATATCAATGACGGGGTGTCATCATATGCCGTTTCCATGGCAACGCATCCCTCGCCATAAAACACGATGTTGTCGTAACTCAATGGGAAATGGTCCAAACTGCACCAGACTTCAGATGACAGTTAATGGTCCGGCCCTCAACACCTCAATGACAATAGTGAGTTTTCCTCAAAAGCTGTTGCCATGGCAACGCATCCCTTGCCGTTAAGCACGATATTGACTTCACATATGTGCTAACAGTCCAGCTGTGAAGACATCTACGTGTCAGATTGCCATGGTAACACAATGCTCGCCGTGAAACACAATGCTCGCCATGAAACACGGTTTTCTCAAAACTCCAAGCGGCCCAAAACTTCACAGGTTTGATAACGATGCAGCCCTCAACACATCTAGGCGTATGGGGTGTCATCAAATGCTGTTGCCATGGCGACAGATCCCTCGCCATCAAACACAATGTTTATGATACTGCTGTAACTCCTATGTACGTTATCCGATCAGCCTGAAACTTCCCATGTTTGCCAACGGCAGAGTCCTCGAGACACCTATGTGACATATCGGCGTACGAACAACAGCCTGCGGAGCATCGAAGACCCGCTCAACGCTTTAATTATTTTTGAATTTGTGTTATGTTCTATTTAACTATGTTGCATTGTTGGAGGAGTTGAATTTGAATTGAATAACTGATATTACTCACTTTTAACATACCCTTAATTTAGTTATAAAAAAAAATAAAAAATACATAACCACACATCTGAAACAAAATGAAATATGATTTATTTCTATAATTTACAACTAATAAATGTATCCTATTGTAATTCAAATGGTGTGCTCTCCCATGTGTTGTCAGAGCTGGACCCCTCTCTGTCTGAAGAGCTCCTCCAGCCTCTCCTCCAGAGCGTAGTTGGTTCCTCTCAGGCCCTTCACCACCTCACTGGCCCACACAAAATACTCCTGCACCCGCTCGGCTGTCCAGCCTGCAAAACACACAGAGAGGGAGGAATATGGTGAGTAAATACATTGTCATGCATCGGTACACAGTAATTCACCAGGAGTTGTTACAATTTTACTACATGTATCTCACAACTGCAACATAAACTCTCCTTTCAGAGTTTTATTTTAGTTTTAATACAGTCCATTAAAGTTGTTGGACAGGTTTATTTCCCGTATGAGTACATTTGTTTTGGTGAGTTCAATACACTTTATCATGTGTACCATTTTTTGTATAGTCATGAGTTTATCAAATCCATCCTATAACAAAACCAACAATGCATTTTCTCTCTAAAAAGAATTCCCTGTGTAGCTAAAGCCTCGTTTAGCTGAAACACTTCCCAAGCAAATGCCCCTTATCTCTTTCAGTTAATTGTTTATTAATGATGTATTTAAAACATAAAAATAAATAAAAAGAAACTAGATATTTTTAAACCGTTTTAAAGGTTTTCATCCTCAGTTGGGGAGAATCTTTCTTGGTTCTGAGATCAACAAAAGTGCAGGGAAGTCAAAAAGTATTAAGAGATTAAATAACACATTGTGGATCGTGTTCTCTAAATCGGATTTGTTAAGAAACATGAAATAAATCCCATGAAACATGAAGTCCATTGACAGTTAAAGACAGGTGCTGACCGGAGGGGGTGCAGCGGTTCAGGTCCCTCAGGTTGTAAAGTTTATCAGCCAGTTTCACCACTTTGGCTTGGCGGCTGCAGTGAGCCGCGTGTTCCACCTGCTGACGCTTCCTCTCCTGTTTGGACAGGCTTTTGTCGTCCGTCACCTCCTGAACGATACGAGCCACAATCGGTCCAAACTTCGCTTCTAGCTCTGCAAAAGAAGTGTCTGTGTCCTCCACTGTGTCATGGAGCAGTGCCGCCTGCAGGAGAGACAACACACAGGCTCAGCTACACATGAAACACTTTGAGTAACAGCAACTCACTGATAACAACTGATAACGTACCTGCAAAACCTCGATGTCTGCGACGCCTCCTTCATGGCTGATGATTCTTGCAACTCCTTAAAAGTACACACAGTGAGCATTAAGAGGAAAGTCCACATGATATCTTAAAGGGACCCTGCTATGCTCAATTTTGGTTGGGGGTGTGGAAGAGAGAATCCTTCTAGTTAAAAGTTAAAGCCTTTTATTGTCATTATACAAAAAGTACAACGAGATTCAGAGTGCAACTCTGTCCCAGTGTGCAAAAACTAGACATACATAACATTAAAAACACGGCAGAAGGTCAGACAACATAAGCAATTTTTAAATCCATTGGAGCAGAGAGAGGAGCTGTGGATTGTTGTTATTGATTAATGCATCAGTGTTTTTTAAGGTCAAAAACACTAAACTCACAACTTAAAAGGAAAGCGTTTATTTAATAAAAGAGCACATGTTCAATGTGAAAAGTGACAGTAGATATAGATTAGTTCCAATTTGGTATATTATATATAAAAAAATAAAAAAGATTATTATTTGTATTTATTTTTAAACACCTTGAATTTCAGGGGGGACGCGGGGCTCCGTTGGCGGGGCGCAGCGGCCCTCCAAGACAATGGTAGGGGAAACACTGGTAATTTACCAAGTATCAGGTATCCTAGCCACTTCGGACAAACATCAGAAACTATTTTAAAATCCATTTGTAGATCTTCCACAACATGATATAGCTAAATGACATGCAAAAAACAAAACCAATAGCTCCTACAGAATATATCACTTCATGTTGCAGCTGTCAAAGTGGAGCTACATTTTATTATTAAAAACGCTACAGTGTATACTGCAAGGTAGCTTGTCAACGGTGAAACACAAAGCCTTATATTATCTCAGACCAGTATATTATTTTATTATTAAACATTTGGTGTAGTAACATTACAATATTTACTTGAGAATTGTAGTAGAGTAGAAGTATAAAGTACGTCAAAATTGCACTTAAGTACAGAGTTGTCTTATTTTGATTTCTGCATTGTTGGACTTTAAGATTGCGCAGCAGCACCTGAAGGCATCACCGCAGAGTTAAAACCTTTATACAGTCTGTGGTTAAAGCACCACTACTTACCGATGGGGTGATTAATGTACGGCGTTGCCTCTGGGTCTTTGCGTCGCTGGTTACGGTGTTTCTCTGCGGCAAAATTCACGGTCTCTAACAACAAAACTGCGTCGGAATTCATTGTTGTAGAATAACATGTAGCGAGAGAGAAACAGCGTCAGGTGATTTAAACTTTCGACGTCGCAGCGTCGCGCTGTCAGTGTATCAGTCCGCTCCTTCTGGTGTCCGGGGGGAAACCGATGACGGACCGATTGATTCCGCTTTTTTAGCTACGGAAGCAGGTAGCTTTTAATATCAGCTTAACCTACCTTTTGCTTATTTTATCTACATATATTCACCCCCTTATATATGTTATGTATTGAATATTAAGGTAACATTATTTCTACATAACTGTCAGCTTTTTAACGGTAATCGTTGTCTTGAATATTCCTGTGATGTGAAGGATGTGTTTTTAGCCTACAAGCTAGCCTAGCTATTAGATGAACCACAGCATATATACTAGTCATTTGTATGTGTTACTATTTCATGTAGCCTCTCTGTAATTATATGAGCCACATGTTTTTGGAGTATTTACGCTATTTAACACTTATTTGTCCTGTGCAATGAATGTGTGAGTTTTGCCTTGTTCCAGTGTTGGCCCAGAATGGCTCACAGTGCCAGGAGAGATTGCCCGGAGCTCCCTGACTTCTCTCTGCTAAAAACGCTGGCCAGAGATCATCTCATCTACCTGCTGGAACAGGTAGGACCAAGTCACAATATGTCCTAAAATAATGTATTATAGGCTGACATCTGGCTGCTAACATCCTACTGATATGACTGGCATGTAAATAATGCAGATGTTAAAGTTTGTAATAGGACCTCTATTGAATACACAACTGTTAATTACCAAAATAAACTTTACAATGAGGGGACTATGAGCGATTACGAAGGAGACGTTGCACTGCTGTCCACGCCCCATCTGTCCTCATGTGATGGTCAGAAGTGTTACGTCAGACTCATTTTCTTTTGTACAGTCTACTCACAAAAGTGAGTTCCATTATTGTCAACAAATCTTATGAAAACATAAAAATCACGAGCAATAAGTATTTCTGAATATCCAAAGCATGTTACTCTTCGCCCAAAAAAGAGCTCCACTGGTGTCCAAATACTATTAGAAACCCACTGTTGCACTTTGAAATATGCTCCTTCATTGCCATGAACACGCCTTAGTTTATTTTGAATCAATTCCACTGGATCGTCTTGCTGACAAAAATACTCACTACAAAACCAAAGGAAATGTAACTTTTCTTTTTTTGCCTAATATTTAAAGATGCACTTCTACAATAGGAAGCAATGGGCAAATAGGGTCGGACAATAATGTTTTGACATTGACATGCAAAAGAACATTTAAAAAATATAACGCTCGCAAAACAGCAGGGTTACCAGCGCTGAGCATTGCATACACATATTTCGTTTTTTGCTATTTTAGTTTGAAAACCAACATGCTGAGCCTGACACTTGGTTAAATAAATGATTTATTCCCCAATGTTGCCAAATAGCACTTTAGCGAGCATCTCTTCGTCCCCCTCTCTCTATCTCACAGCTGCCGGGGAAGAAGGACCTCTTCATTGAGCCTGACTTGATGAGCCCGCTGGATCGTATCGCCAATGTGTCAATACTAAAGGTAAACCTCGTCAGATTGTCTCTTTTTCAATTGAAAATCTACAGTTCTAATATCTTTTTCAAAATGTATTTTTTTTTTTTTTTACAGCAACATGAAGTTGACAAACTCTACAAAGTGGAATATAAACCTGTTATCAGCACCTCAGATCAGTGAGCCCTGCCACTTCATACTTCTTAGATAATCTAAGACCTTTATATTACACACACGCACGTCTGATACGACTGCCTCACAATGTGGCATTGCTCTCTTGCAGGCTCTGTTTTCTGATCCGGCCAAGAATACAAACTGTGAAATGGATATGTGGTAAGTAGAGTTGGATTTGTTTTGTAGGTTAGTATGAAGCTTATGATTTAGAGAGATGAATACGTCGTAACACCGTTAAACTAAAGCAGAATACTTATTAACTGAAAAGGTCATTTGATTTATCGCTTAAAAAAATATAAATCTTCAAATTTGTAAGGAACTTGGCTATGGTTGGAGTTTATTATTATTATTTTTTTAATGATTTAGATTATTATTAATTGCAAGTTTTTGTAAAGTTAGCTCAACACACATTGAAACGTTCTGTTCTTTAGCTGAAGTGAAAACCTAAAAAAAGGGTGCCCAGGTGCTACCGACAGTGATGATATGTTTACTTAGTTATAACATTGCCCCCTTGAATAATGTACAATAAGCCTATTAAATAATGTAATGTTTATTCCTTCCTGTTGCAGATGTGGCCAATGCAGACAAAGCAGCAGGAAAATGTAGAAGATACAAGATAATCTTTACCCCAAAGAAGGTATATCTGTTTCCCCTCTACTGTTGTGCACACGCTCTGCTTTTTGGATGAAGTCCTTGATATTAACCTTCTGCCTCTTCTGTGCAGTTCTATTCATGCGATGCGGTGCTAGAGGAACAGGGGATCATCGGCGGTGAGCATTCTTCTTCTTTCACATTGTGTTTCAGTAGCAGTGATCAGTTTTGGTGAGAGGAAATGTTATACTTGTTGTTCCCTCAGATGTGACCACTGATGAGTGGTCTTTCTATCTTCTTCCTCTCGACGATGACATCATCAGTCTGGAGCTGCCGGAATTCTTCCGAGACAACTTCCTGGTAAATAATATGCATGGGAAATATTAGTTGATTGACTATTTAGTAAATTACCAAATCATTTATTGCACTAGAAGTCTGACATTATGATATAGAAAAATATGGCAGATGAAACAAATTGTCCGATTTAAATCAGCAAGAAAATATGGATATGTACAGTTTGTCAGATAGCAGTAAAAAAAAACATCAGACCATACAAACAAATCATCCAAAATCCATTGTCTTTGCTGGACACTGTGCACTCTTTGTTTGTCAGTAAATTGAAATGGCTGTAAATGTGAATTCTGATCTGATGCAACTAAGAATTATTTTCATTATTAATCACTATAAATATTAGAAAATTGTGAGGAAAGAAGCGCCATTTTGCAATCTATTAACCAATTAACCATACTTTTTGTATAAGAAAGTAAAATGTCATTGTAGCACATACAGTAGCACGGCACCCGAGAAGCAGAACATGAGAATCACCTTGTATTTCTTCCCACAGGCGGGGGACCAGCGCTGGGTGAAGACCGCCGGCAGCGCTCTGCACCTCATTCACTCGCTCTACGGGCCCTTCTCAAAGGTCTATGGGATTGGACGATGTTCCAAGGTGCTGTATTATCAACGACCAAAAACTGTCAGGTCATATTTAAAGGGGCTCGATCATGCTCATTTTTAGGTTTATATTTGTATGTTGTGCCTCTACTGTGACATGTCTCCATGCTTTAATGTTCAAAAAGCTCTTTATTGCTCTCAGACTGCCTGTGCTGCAGCACCTCTTTTCACCCTCTGTCTGAAACCAGAGCCCAGTCTGCTCTGATTGGTTAGCTGGCCGGCTCCGTTGCGATAGGTAGAGATGTCCTGCCCCTTATTCATCACGTACAATGTGTTGGAGCGCTAGCCAATAGAAGCACAAGTGTTACGTTGTGATGTTGGAGGTTGTGGCTCAGTGTGTTGGTGCGCTGATCTTCGGAATATGAGGGAACTGGTTCAAATCCTGCTGCAGTCAGTCAGAATTCCGCTGTGTCCTTGACCAAATCAAATGTATCCTGAGTGGATTGCCCATAGCATTGAATGTATGTGAGTCATTCACATGTAATAATAATGTAATAAATGTCACTGTTACGGAAGTTAACAAAGGAGTCTAATGGAAAAAAATATATAGTTAGTTTTCCCAAATAAAGTCTGCTGTGAACTGCCCCTAATTCTGTCCATTATTAACAGATGGCGTACGAGTCGTGGAGGGAGCAGGTGGCAGAGGGAGAGCAGAGAGCTCAAAAGGCTGAAATAGGAAAAGTGTTTCTCATCGACAGAGGTGAGGATGCATGTGCCCTCTCAGCGGACGACATGCAGAGATGTGCTTTCTGTCCTCCATAACTCTGTCTCTATGTTTGCAGACGTGGACTTTGTCACTCCTCTGTGCTCACAAGTTGTGTATGAAGGACTCGTGGACGATATTTTTAGAATCAAATGTGGTAGGTATTTGTATGATTCTGCTCTGACTGCAGATTTATTTGGACATGTCTCATCACAGTGTCTGTTCTGCAGGATGTGTGGAGTTTGGACCTGAGGTTACCTCGTCTGACAAAAGTATGAAAGTCATGCTGAACTCTCAGGATAAGGTAGGAAGCTGCTGACATTAGAGATCCTCCATGGTCATGACTTTAAGTTAATCATCTGTTGTAACTCTTGCTTGGTTCATAGGTTTTCAACGAAATCAGAAACGAGCATTTCTCAAACGTCTTTGGCTTTCTCAGTCAGAAAGCCAGGAATCTCCAGTCGGCATATGATGTGAGTTATTGTTGATAACCCTCATTATAACTTGGCCTGTGAGTGACAGAGCTAACACTGTGATGATTCTACAGAAGCGACGGGGGATGGACATAAAGCAGATGAAGACGTTTGTGTCAGAAGAGTTTAAAGGGTTGAAACAGGAACATCGGCTGCTTAGCCTACGTGAGTGTTACAGCAGTAAATCAAATCAACTGGCATGTGCTGTATACATCCAATAATAATGACTGACATTCTCTTTCAGACATCGGTGCCAGTGAATCCATAATGAAGCAGAAAACTAAGCAGGACTTTCAGGAGCTGCTGAAGACAGAACACTGTAAGAATACTAAAGTGTCCAAATATTATATTAATGATTTCAAAGGGTTCACTTCTGACTCGCTTTCTGTTCCAGCTTTACTTGAAGGATTTGAAATCCGGGAAAGCATTTCTTTCATAGAGGAGCACATCAACAGACGGGTGCGCCTGCTTGAACACAGTCTGATATGTACAGGTGAAATATAAAAAATTAAATGCTGGAAACTTACCTCTTTATATTTTTCAAAGGTTTCTATGCTAGAAAGTCTGAGGCTGCTTTGTCTTCTGTCCATCACGGAAAACGGTGAGTGGTCTTTATGTAAATATCAATTCAAAAACGGATTCATATTATTCTAATGTTTTATTAAAACCGTGTTTTATCACAGGACTTCTGCCAAAAGACTTCCGCTCACTAAAAACACAGTTTCTACAGGTGAGATTCAACATGAAAATGCTGTCTTTGTCCTAAAATCAAACATTTTATGTTTTTGAAAGCCACAAATGAACTGGCATTAGACATACTACCAGTCGACAGCTTTAAATACCTTGGAGTAACACTGGACAATAAACTTAATTTCAACCAGCACACCACTGACATCTTCACAAGGAGCCAACAAAGATTATCCATTATCCCCCCCTCTTCTCCTAATACTGTACCAAAGCATTATCCAACCCATCCTCATGTACTCCTCCGCCTGCTTTTTCAATATGCTCACTGTCACCAACTGTACAAAACTGACAGACGTCACCAACACTGCTGCCAGGATAATCGGACTTCTTGCACCAAACCTCACAATGCTTAACAACAGGGCCATCTCAAGCATCGCATCCACAATAGAACCGGACATCACACATCCACTCAATCAGTACCTCGCCCCACTGCCATCCGGGCAAATGCGCACTGAGACATAAAAGGGCTCGCTTTGGAAAAAGATTGGTTCCGGCAGCCATTTCTGCCTTAAATAACAGGCCTCGCTAAGTGTAACTGCCATGTGTTTCACCATCTGTTGTTGTCTGTGTTAGTGTTTGTTGTTTATATATTGTATGTATACTACAGTGCTGTGAAAATGAGTTTCCCCCTGGGGTCAATCAATCTAATCCAATACTATACTTATATACTTACACATACTACTTTCTGCTATGTCTGTGTGTAATTCCCTGCTACTGAGCACATTGGGTATGAATACATAGGGGTTAGTATTGTAGAAATTGTCATTAGAGCAAAAATCGACAGAAGTGCCCAATAAATAAGCTGTTTTCTCCTGTGTTAATATCTTAGCTTCAAACTACACTGTACATTTTAGGAAACAAAGATTTACATCCTCAGTATCAAATTGGTTTGAGTCTTTTTATGGTGTTGGTAGACAATGGATAAAGCATTCCCCTTAAAACCTGTCCTAATTTAAGGAGCCATTGTTGTTAATATGAAAGCTGTTCTCTGATTGGCCCCTGCAGAGCTATGGAGTGGACCACCTGCTCACATTTGCCAACCTGAGGCAGTTGGGGCTGTTGGTGGAGCAGCAGCCCGGGGAGATGCTGACCGTCATGGAGAGCAAAGTGGGCAAACTGGTCAACGACAAAACTGCAGGTGAGACAGGCTTCATCTTGTTTTAGTTTTGTGGTACTTATATTACAGTTTGCACATCATCAGCAGTTCAATCAATACAGTAATCCATCTTTTGTTTTTTCCAGTCTTATGACACATGGCAGGTGCACAAACAAAATATACAGAAATAGGGAAAAAACCACAACATGAAACAATAAAGACAAGGAGTGTTTTCTATTGGTATAAAAATATCTTATATATGAAATCTCTCATATTTAAGCTGAAGAAGGCCATCTCTCTTTAACTTCCTATAATTTCTCCTGATTCTCCTCATCTGCATTTGTATTATTCATTGTTTTTCAGGAAAGTTGACTGATGCCTTCTCTTCTCTTGCGAGGAAGAGCCATTTCAGAGCCCTGAGCCGAAAGCTCAACCTGGTAAAAGATCATCTTTACCGTGCTCCAAACGGCATTTTCATCAGGTTTTATTATGTCACTAAGTAACTGTTCCAATTTGGTGTAAAGGTGCCGAAGTCAGATGAAGAATATGACCTACGTGTCCCCAGAGACATGGCCTACATCTTCAGCGGGGCCTACGTCCCTCTGAGCTGCAAGCTGGTGGAGCAGGCGAGTAAACGGCTGGAGGCATGATGTCACATGGCTTGTTGACTGTTTGAGGAAACCAAGGAGAGATCATCAGTGCCATGTTGAAACTTATTTGTAATATTATTCCTGGTGTGGTCGTGTTATAGGTGTTGGATCGGGACGGCTGGACTGGTCTTGAAGAAGTGACCAAGCTGCTGAACGGGCATGAATTTGCTGTCACAGGTTAGATCACAAGGAGATATGAATGTAATGTTGAAGTTGAATACTGGCAATATTCTGCAATACTCTGATTATTTAAACAACTGCAAACACCTTATTTGGAACTACGGTTAGAGAAACCTGATTTCCCAGACTAGATTTTGTGCAATTTTCCCCCCATTTATATGCACTCAAATGTGCTTTTTACTTGTACAGATGGAATGACAAGGACTTTATAAAGGGACTAGCTAATGGCTAAGTGGTGGGATGATAAGAGAGAAATCATTAGCGATTAATCCTCATAATTGAATAAGAATTCTCACTAAAGGCTTACACTATTACAAATTTGCACTTGAAAACTGACAGAAAGAACACAAAACATCAGGAAGTAGGACGTCGTAGCTTGCATTATTACAATACAGTTAAAACAAGTAAGCTGTGGTCCTAAAGTAAGGTTAATGTGAGAAAGAAATCTGATTACTGAACTACTGTTTTCTGTGTGAAAACATTACTCAGAGTAACCTTGTTTCAAGTAAAGCCACGTCTTAATAAACTGATGAATGCTAAATGTTTCGTGTCCTAAGGCAACAACGGAGCCGATTCAAAAGCAAAGAGCGACGCTCAGCGCATCGTCCTCGTCATGTTCCTCGGTGGCTGCACCTTCTCTGAGATCTCAGCCCTACGGTTCCTCGGCAGAGAGAAGGGTAAACATTTGTCTGCCAGTCATCTTCTGATGGTTTCCTCCCTTTCGTCTTCATTCTTCCTGTTTGTGCAGCTGTTGCTTGGAGTTTCACTTCTTCTGTTGTACCAGTTAATCTCACGGCCTTATTGTATTCTCAACTGCTCCTAATGATTTCTCAGGCTACACATTTTTAAGATTTGGGGAATTTTTAAATATGTTTAAGATATTTGCTTGGATGGTGTGATTTGTAGTTTATTCTTGCACTTTTAAGATATTCATATCAGAATACTTTGTTTACCCCAGGGGAAAATGGGTTTTGTTACGGTTTGAAATAAAACCATTTTAAAATGAAAGAAATATTGAGAAAATAATTATACAAATGTAAGAAGTTACATTAAGAATGTGTAATACAAGGATACAATACAATTAAGATATTTAAAATGCGATCAAAATCAACATGATGGTGGTTTACCAGCAGAAACCTTACACCCCTTCTTGTGTTTCTCTTAATAACATTACGATAAAGAAATATTAAACTTACATTAAACTGCAACTATGCATTCAAATCTTACGAATACTTTTGTCTTATCCTTGTACATTCTTTCTTTAAATTAATTTGTTTGTATTTTTTTTTTTCTTCTATATTTTTCTTAAATGTATCTTGTTCTGGGGATTGTAAAGATAGCTGATATTCAGCTGTATAAATCACATGAACTTATCATGTCAGAAGTGAGCAAAAACACTTCATTATAGGAAACTATTTTCCTGATAAAGCAAAGAAAAGCTCTATTTACACGTTTGCCTGTTAACTGAATAAAAGGTATTTAGGTTACACAAACAAATAGTAGGAATTATNATTCTTTCTTTAAATTAATTTGTTTGTATTTTTTTTTTTCTTCTATATTTTTCTTAAATGTATCTTTTATTTAATTTTTTTCTTAAATCGATCAACTTCAAAACCCAATGTTCCTCGGGATAAATAAACAATTTGGATGATTGATAATGACATTCAGTTGCTATGCTTTGAAGACTGTGTAGTCATAGCCCAATTGAGCTATGACTTTTTATATATTTAGTCTGCTGAGGGCTTTTTGGAACGACATTTTGTTGTGTGTTATGTTCTGGGGATTGTAAAGATAGCTGATATTCAGCTGTATAAATCACATGAACTTATCATGTCAGAAGTGAGCAAAAACACTTCATTATAGGAAACTATTTTCCTGATAAAGCAAAGAAAAGCTCTATTTACACGTTTGCCTGTTAACTGAATANTGTCATGAACAAGACTTGAAACTATAGATTGCCACCATTAACTCATCAGGAAAATGTTGACTGAGGTAATAAATCAAGAGAGAAGTAGGAACATTTTCTCATAGACTTCTATACAATGTGACTGCTTTTCTGCAAACAGCTGCCCCCTGCTGGCTATGAAAGAGAATGCAGGTTTAAGACACTAACATTTTTATAAATGTCCCAACATTTCATTTTTACATGGAAAAACGTTAACATGTTATTAATGTTAAAATAGACATTTATAACATATTATAAATGTCTATAGAATATTAAATAAACGTTAACATGTTACATGACAAACAAAAAAACGAAACATTATATATAGGCTATATATACAGATGTTTGCTAATTTATCCCTCTTATATCCATCAGGAATTAATATTAAATGATGAATTAACATTACCTCAGCACTGCATAAGTGTGGTCGTCAGTCATATTGA